TTTTGTACAAATACAGGGGTTGATAGGTGTTGTTAAACCTTGCTCTTTTGTGATCTCAGGGCTCCGTACATGGCCAAAGGTTGTCTGGAGAACTGGAAACTAGTCCAAAGTCCAAACTCAAGACTTGGGCCTGGACTTTCTTATTTCTTTTTGTTATAGAACTCAAATAAAGGCCCAGTCTGCTGACTCCATTATATTATATATTAGCAAAACTCAAAAGAAGAAGAAGAAGAAGAAAAAAAAAAAAAAAGAGTTAAGTAAAGCCCATTCAATTCATATATTAGGTCCTAATGCTAGGGATAATACCACCAATGCCGGACTATGTCTATGCTCACCGTTAAACCAGGTTTACCTGGTGCGGGCTGTGCGGCCATTATCGAAGGCCCTACCCAGTGATTCGGGTACGAGAACCAGGGCTGAAATTTTGCAGTGCAATCGCAAACTGGCATATTAATAATTAATTAATTAATGGTTATGGGTCAAAAATAAAGAGAACCCTAAACCTAAAGGCTTATGTGAAGAGTCCCATTATACATGGTAACTTGCAATTTGATTCTTGGAGGACTACAATTAAAGCAGAAAAAAAGGCGTATGAGAGAGGGGGGAGGGCGGAGGGGCTATATTATTATATATGATTGAGATTGAGCTTTCTATGATGATTGATGAGAAAGGTAAGGACTGAAGAGAGAAGCCCAACTATTTAAACATTTGTCAGAAAGAGAAGCGAACCACACGGACACGGCCGGTGGTGGAGCTGCAAATCGATCCCAAAACAAAAACGATGCAGTGTTCAGGTGTTTAGGTTACTGACTCTTGAATTTTGATCTTGATTGTTTGTTGTCTTATGTGCAAGTTCAATTACTTGATTATAGGGATACAATTTGCAGGCTACATGCATAGCCCTATGACTCTATGAGGTTCAACATCTTCCAGTTCCAAATCTGAAGAATTTATACACTCTATTGGGCATGGGCCCTGGGCCGAATCCCATCAAATTTGGACAAATGCTCAACCCAAGCCAAAGCCTGCTAATGTGGATAAAGATAGGATCACACTCATTCTTACTACATACAGAATATTTATGGTTCTATATATGTTTATCTTTTTTCCAGTTTTCATGGAAAAGAATGTTAGATTAATTGATGGTTTTTTTTGGGAAATGCAAAGGCATTGAAGTGGATGAAAGAAGTGAAGGAGAAATTGGCCTTCTTTGGTGGCCCAGTTCTTGCATTTTGGGATGGAGTCCATTGTGACGTTCAAGTGAAGCCAGACATTGGACCTGCTATGATTTATGGACTGCCCATAAAGCTGTATTGTGTGAATTTGTCTCTACATTATAAAAAACTTTTAATGACAGTCGAATGGTAACTACACAAGCACATATATTCGAGTAAACGAGGGGGTTTTTGAATCATTCAACTGACAAATGGGAGTCATGTGACCACCGTATATATTTGTCAGTCATTTTGGTTTGGCCGCATGTCTGTTTTAGCTTATCGTAACCACTCCAAACCCTAAGTTCATCTTCTGAAATGGAGTAATTACCATAATACAGTTGACCTGGCTTGATCAGTTATTTTCTTTAAAGAAAAACCAAGAGAGAGAGAGAGAGGATAATGCTAGGAGACACTGGTAGAATCCCAGAAGAAAACCATGGGACAGATTCATAGGTTGTCTTATTGGATAGAATCTTTCTAAAAGATTAAAACTGGGCTGGACTGAGAATAGCAGGCATGAATGAAACCCCACTTGGGGACCACCCTAGGAGGCCGCAGGCTGAAGAGGCACCGTGCAAATTGCCAAGGACAATATTCGCATGCAGAGGCCCAACTGTGGGGTTTCGGGGAACATTTAATCCTTTTTACTCCGGACAAACGTACCCTAAAAGTCTCCCAGAACGGACGAATTGACCCTGATTGCACTGAACCAGCAAGGTCCTTTGGCTTCCTAAGACAAGCTCGTCTAACAAACTTCGATCAGATCAGATTGTAGGGCTGGACTAGGGCAGACGGCTCGCTTCTGGCCCATGGAGATTGGAGGGAGGAGTGGTGGAGTGTTTCGGTTTGGCATACACTTCATTCGCCTGAAATGTGGACCATTGGACTATAGTGATTGCCAAATCTAGCTCATTTCTACCCCACTACATCTGAAAATTGAAGGGATATGAGATTGATCCAATCATCAAGATCAGGTGTGGTGTGCCTTTAAAATACTAAGGAGGTGTTTTTTTTTTTCTGACGTTGCAACGTTGCAGTTGTTTTTGTTTTGAAAAAAACAAAACACATATATTGGGCAAACACCTTAAACAAGTCATTTCTTTGCAGTTTGTGGCCCATATGGGAGGAATTAAAACTTTGTTTGAGTTGCTTCAGCGCAGCTTCCTTGAAGAAGTTACTAACAGTAACAGAGGCAGAGAGCCATCCGTGTAAGGGGGGGTGGCTGAATGAAATTGAGTTTGGGCTCTCCAGGCTTTTTTACCAAATGTTGTTTGTTGCCCATTGGGCTTGAGCGTGAACAAGTATACAGGCGCACCCATTGGGCTTGTGGGCCCCGTCTATTTTATGACCGGTGTTGAGTGTTGTCATGGGTTCCACAGCCTGCCACTTTTTATAATGGGGGCTAAAGCATTCAGCTAATTTGAATTCATTATAATGGGGGGCGTTGAGGATAGAACATTAGACATTTTTGGTTGGTTAAACAAGCTCTGAAACCAGATCAAGTAACTGTTCAACCTGGATGAGGTCCCTGAATATTCAGGCTTTTATTCTAACACTGATAATGAATAACGGAAAAAAAAAATCTCAATTATTGAGAGAGAAAGGGAGAAAGAGTGTTAATTTTGGGATCTTTAGACTTGAAAGAATTAATCTATTCTCAATAAATATGTTAAAAGAGTGTGCCAGCTTCCACTTCCAAAAGGAGACTAGTACAGATGTGACTTTGTATCATCTAAGATACGCTCCCGACATGAAAATCCCATATGTCACCTCTTCCCCTCTTAATACATAAACATTATAGCTTATCTACGATAAATTGATAATTAATTAGTAGTATAGGTCTACAAGTTAAACTAATAAATTCCCATTTGAAGTCACTCGGGCTTTAAGATTATAATTATTTCAACGATCTTGAGATCATTTGAAGATGGTCTATACTTGTGCAGTTCCTTGGCATCCCTTTGCCAACCTGTACATGTTCTCTTCCTACTTGTAACAAGTGGGAAATAGCAATCATAATGTTGCTTTGATTATTTCATGCCACGTAAGGATCGCAATTTTCCCTATCTTCTTTGGCACTCAGAATTTCCTATCCACCGTGAATTGGAGCCACACATCTCTATTATGAATTAAGAGATGTGTGGCTCCCATTCACGACAGGTAGAGAGTGGGTAGGAAAAGTTTATAGGAAATCTGGCCTCCTTTGGGTATCCAAACTCCCTCCTCCCTAACACATAGGGAGTGAGGAGTGAAGTCCTTGCCCCACCCCGATTCCAATTATATCTATCTATCTATATTTATATATATCCAAAAAATATTTAAATATTATTTATATTTTAAATAAAATTATTTTTTAAAAAATATTATTAATTAAAAAATTTCTGAGATTTAAACCCTGTGGCAAACTTGTCTCTAACATGGATCAGGATCATGTATGGACATTTAGACTATGTTTGGTTTGGAGGAAAACATAGGAAAACCTCTACAAATCTTGTATTGGCTTTCCTGTGCTTCCCTTCTATTTCTTACCTTTTCCTTCAAACAAAACATAAAGTCTGAGTTGGGTGGGGATAGGAATATGATCCCCCCCGTTGCCATTACTCCACTACAAACATTATATGGAAATAATTATTTCACTTCCATTTTTCAAAAGCGTCTTCTCTTAGAATTTATAGAGAAAGGTGATTTCAAAAATTAAGAGATAGATCTCTTAGTCCATCAAATAAGTGGTGCTGCTACTGACACCATCTCTTAGATACAAAAACTCGTGGTTGGTGGTTTTGTTCATCCAAAAGGATAATGGTGCGCATTTCTATGAGTCTGAACGGTTGAGTGTTGATGTTTAATTCTCGTTGAAATAAGCCGAATTAAAGAATATTAACTAAGAATCAAGTGAGTTAAACAGATTAAAATGAACACAGTGTGTGGTACGTTTGTCCAGAACCAGAGTAGTTCGTCAGCACATTTTAGATACTTCTGCATTGCTAGCTACAGTACTGGGTGAAAGGACAGATGGTATATATCAGCACTTCGTCTAGGGATCTATATTTGGAAATTAAGAAGACAAGATTCTGCACCACACAATTTGCAATTTGATTGGGTTGACAAGGAAAAATATCATTTAAGGGAGCTTTTCAATCAAAACGCTTCAATATTTATTCTCATAAAGATGCATGAATGAATTCTTTATCTCTGCTGCCAGGCATGCCAGAAATTAATAGAAATTTACACTAGCTTGATCAATCTCCTGCACTTTTCTCCAACACGTACTATGGAGATGTAAGAAAAAGTGCAGGGGAAAAAGTTTAAGATGTCCGGCCTCGATCGGTTATAAATAAAAGTGATGTTAAAGCAAATGAAGTAGAACATTCTCATGAGACCCCATTCACATGTTTTTTTTATCATAATCTCCCTCAAATTTGCTACTCAGGGGATTTTCTTCCGTTCAAGCCTATTGGTTAGCTTGAGGGTCTATCCCTGTGTGGGTGTGGTATCAAATTAAGGTCGTCATATTTGGTCAGAACAAGTATTTTTTTGTATTCCCCCCACTCGTTCTGTATATTTATATAACTAACTAACTAACTAACTATATAGATATCTTAGCAAAATAAAAATAATAGTAATAATTAATGATGAAGGCAATTGTATAATTATCAATATCGAGAAGAAAAGGGTTTTAATCTTTTTTTTTTTTTTGCCATTTTTCATGAAATAGTGGTTTTGTGGATTTTGGTTTAAAATTTGCGACCAAAACAGTATTGGATAAATTAGTTATATAGAAGATTAATTAATATTTTGCTTCATTAGATAAATTACTCAGCCTACATGAAAAAAAAGAAAATTAGGCAAAAGATAAGCATAGGATAACAAGAGATTTTCCTCTTTTGGTTTTCACTACTATTGTTCTTGCTCATTACTTTCACTCCAGCTCTTGATAGCTTGCAACACTGCTCGTTTCACCATTTGAGCATCTATGCTTTCAACTTGTCCTTGACTCTGAAAATGGATATATAAAATCCGCTTCAGTGGCATTCCTTGAGAAATAAATATATACAAAGACAATTAACACATGTACATATAGTAGACATGTATTCATGGGCACGTGTAGGATCATATATATATATATATATATATATATACACCAATCAAAATGTGATTGATCATGCAGTAGTACTCATCTAAAAGCATGATTCATACAAAAATGTATCCATCCATATAAACATACATATTGCATGCATTATATATGCAGCGAGTAGGGTAGGGTCCCAATATATGGATTGAGATGGAAGTCTGCAATTGAAATTCTGTCTTAATGCTAACCACCCATTATCTTGTCCCTCCAAATTATATATATATATATATATATATATATATATACATATATATATAGTGTGGTTGGAATACCGATAAATTTAGGCAGAGAAGCCACTGGGTGAAGCAAAACCTCACACGTGATATTTGTTTGAACGTATACGGTTGGTGTTAGAGGTGTAGACAGTTTGTCATTCTTTACAGGAATCGTCTGTGATGATATGTTATAGAGAGAGAGAGAGAAGTAAGTTGGTTGTGTAAAATAGAAAACATATATAGAGATAGAAAGAGTTCACATTCTTACTTCTCCACCAACTGCTTCTAGACGAAAACTGTCCGTACAAGAAACTCTGGCTTCCAGCACGTTGAGGCCCAGCTCCTCAAAGGCTTCTAATATCGAGACAAGCAAACCGGGGCAACTCTTCTCTGAAAACACATTGATTAAAAAACCTTTTTCTACGGTTTCTACTGTGACCTGCCCATGAATTATAAAATCGGAATTTAAATACAGGTTTTGTCACTTTGAATTTATATATATAGAAATAAACAAAGACAGAGACAAAGTTAAATATTGAAATTATTAAGACAGAATTAACAGAGGAAAGCTAACAATAAAAAGAACTGATTGGAGCGTACCACTGGCAATGGATTTTGGCAATTGGAGTTCTGCGCATTTGCAATATCTTGATTCAGTCTTTCTACCTTTTGCTTCAACTCTTCTATATACTTGGATGCGTCCACTATAATTGAAGTTTTATTGAGCTGCCACCGATGCACACAAAGGAAATAGTATATTAGATGCATGGTAATTGCACCAATAACTTGGCTGGATTTTTCTTCTCCCTTTCAATGATTTCTTTACTTTTCCCTTGTAAACTAAATAGGCTAGCTATCTATATCTCTTCTTTTCCTTTCTCTTGTTGACAGATTTCCAAACTAGATTGCAAAATCCCGAAAATATAAACTTTGGTACACAAATTTTCTCTCGTGTAACATAATTAAAGATTATCTTAGATTTCAGGTTTTAATCTCCTTTGCTATAATATTATATGTTTATTGTTATTTCCCACATGTTTCACAAAGAAGATGGAAGAAAATAAGATAGAGAAGGAAACAGTTAAGTTAGAGCGAGAGAAAGATGTTCAACCAATCGCAAAGGAATTTTCAATTTTCTTCCGAGAATGTTCTTTCAGATATACGTGAATATAGAGAAAAAGAAAAACCAGAACAGGGATTGTTATCAACGACATGCAAAGACAAAGAAAACCCAAAGGAGAATGCTAATTGAAACAAACGTTCAGAAATACAGAGAAATTACTGCGCGAGAGTTTGTAACGGAACGAAGTAGTTGAAGCTTCTCATACAAAGCAGCCCTCTTGTGCTCCCTCGAAACCATCTCTTTCTTTCTCCCTCTCCTTCTCTCTGTCTCTCTCTCTCAAAATCTTCGGTCTGTTTTAAAGAGGGGGATGAGCCCTCAAATCTATGTGATCACCTGTTTCCTTCCCACATGAGTGCTTCAGCTTCTTCGCAACAAAATATATAATATATATGCTCTTCAAATTACCGTGTTGCCCTTTGTCATTTTCCTCCACAGCTCTATGTATATCTGAAATGCTCCCGGTTCTTTTTCTTCTTTCTTCTCCTTTTGGTTTCCAAATAATTTTTTGGTACTTGGTTATTACGGAAAATTGATTTAGTTCTGTAGTAAGTCATGTTGTGAAATTAGGATAAACTTAACCCTTTCCACCCAGTAATTATGCACTGTATTTCAGTGCCACTTTATTTCATTGTTTTCGATCTCTAGTTTTGGGATAACTGTTGTTTCCCATGAGCGAGTATGAGTTTTTGCTTAAGAGTAATATTAGTTGAAGCTACAACGAATAGGGTTTATGGCTTACAAATTTTTTGTCATCTTCAGTTCTCAATACTTGTTTAAGCATGTAGTTAGTTCAGATTACATTCATTAGTTGTATGATTAACAAATGTTTGGAATTAAGTATCATGATTCATGAACTTATTAAAAACAATAAAAATAAAAATAAATACAAGACCTAGTACCAATCCAATGGAGACAGGGAATCATTGAAAAATTAAAAAGAACACCCAAAAAATTATAAGAAAATTACAGTGCAGGATTTGCAATTGGAGCTAGCCCGTGATTTCTTTTAACTTGTCATAAACGGAAAATGTATGAATAAATAAACAAAAAAGGCAACATCTCTTGGCCAAGAATGGGACCAGAGAATCAGGGTTCTCTTTATTTTAAAAGTTGGGTGCAATACAAATAATAGAAGGAGCAGAGATGTAATGCAAATAATGGGCATTAATTGCCTATTATATATCTTATTGATTTCGTCATCTCTAAGCATCATTAATTAAATAAATACGTACCCACTAGGTTGTGCGGCATGTCATATTATATTAATTAATTAACAGAAACAACATGTGTATAGTATCTAATTCTAAACTGATATAATTGAGAATATTATAAAGAAAAAGTAATTAGAACAAAAAGAAAGAATATCATGAAGCCCATTTCGTCTGTAGGTATTCTATTTGTAGGATGGGTGTCTTCGTATTTTCAAAATTTAATTAATAAAGAAATATGTAATAAGTGGAGGAGGGAGGGAATGAAGGAATGAACAAGGGCGGTGGGGACATTTTGGTAAATTGAGGTGAAGAGAATGGCGTTTTGCTTTTGCATGGCAGGAGCCGGGGGTTGATAGAGGAGGGGTCGGAGGGGAGAGAGGGAGTGGGGCTAACGCGGAGGAATCTGCTCGTGATCGGGGCGCCATCGAAAGCTGCGAAGGAAGCGTCAAAGGATGTTTAGTTGTGAATGCCTCCAAACACTCCTCACGGGGGACGTGTCTCTCTCTCTATTCTCTCTCTCTCTCTCGCCGTCACCATTTTGTCCTTGCCTTTTCTCTCTCTCTCTCTCTCTCTCTCTCTCTCTCCTCCTTCCCTCCTCACAGTCACAGGTGCGAGGTGCCATCCATCTCAATTTCTCGCTCCCCCGGCATTTCCCAGCTTCTCATGTCATGCCTACGAATATTTCCCTTTTATAAATTATCATGGAAAATTTAAAAGAAAAGAAATGTAGCGGTAGCCTAACAAATAACAATATATAAAAAAGAATAAAGAAAATTAAATTTGAAGAAAAAGAGAAAAAAGAAAATCAAACTGTTAGATGGTAGACCACCACCATGTCTCATGGATGGGACCTACTACCACATAAATCAAAACCTTTATACGTAGAGTTGAGTATGACTTTCTGTTGAGAATGTCTCAAAATTGGGGGTTTTACATTTGGGTTGACACAAAGGTGATTATGATGCGTGTAAGGGATTTTTCAGACACTTGATATAACTGTTGCTTGCCTTGTTGTTTAGTTTCACATCTTTACTACCGGCCACCTCACATTTGTGGCTGTGGCTGTGGCTGTGGCCATTTCCTATCTAGACCTGGCCATGGACCGGATCGGACAGCTGAGTCCACGAATCGGAGACCCATCCCACCCACTGACCCTTATATTGCAAGCTTGCTCCTAAAGTACTCCTGATTTTTAAGGGTTGAACGATTAAATCAGCACCGGCCTGTGCGGGTTTGACAATACGGATATCCTATGGCATTTATGATTGAAGTCCAAGCTAACATGCAAGTACCCTCTGATCGAGTTCAATAAACCAAGAAGTTGGCAAAAGAAGAAGAAGATAACTGAGCAGCTGCGGCCTTTTGCAATTTAATTGCATGTGACTCTTAGCTTTCTCTGCCTTTGCTGATTGTCTTTTATAACCCCACCTTCACCGTTTTCTTTGAAAATTACTTATTAGGAGCTAGCTAAAGCTAAAGCTCAAATAATATTGTCTCATGCAACCTAACCTAATTAATGATCAGTACTGTATATATATATATATATATATATATATATATATATATATATATATATAATGTCTTTTGTTGAGTACTAGTCACCCAGAATTAGCAGTGTTAATTGGTGGTTCTGAATCAGTTTGAATCCAAGAAATGATCACTTACGTGAGAGGCTAGCTCCAACCATGGTGCATGGTGCATGGTGACAGACCTCCAAAATTCGAGTCAAAAAAGAAACCCGTATTTAACTAATAATTTGTGTACCTGCAGGCTGCAGCTGAAATTTGAGTCCAAGGAATTTATTTATTTAGGTAGCTAGCTAATATTTCCAAGAATTTTGTACCATGCATAGCTAAGCTAGCTATATCTGTCATCAAGGAAAATGATCTAAAAAAGGTGCCCCCTGAGAAATGATATATATGGACCATGACCATGGGGGTCGTCTATTACCGTACACCTGGTTCACATGTGCATCCATTTTGGACTTATACATCTCTGCTCCATCTATGATCTCATTTCCAGTATGCTTAAATGGCCCATTGACTTGTATTCTACAGTGGTCCATGGACTTTCGCCATTCTCAAACCTAGATAGTTTTTGTATTAAAACTCCATGGATCCGCACCAGCTCCAAATGGGCCTACTCATCAGTTCCTACGTTAATTAATTTCCTAGCTAGCTAGTTTTTACTTTTTAGTTTGTGTGTGTATGTACGTATGTTTTGTAGTATTTGATCTCACGGTGAGATGAGATGTAGTAAATTAACTTACAGCCTTTCATCATCAAATGTAAAATCTGCCTAGGCCTTCTCTATTGCTTCCAGCGTTGTCTCTATTCCACCACGGACAAACCACGTACCCACCCATTCACATGTGTGCCCTTTAATCATTACAACACAACAATCTACCCACGCACACACACTCTCTCTGCTCCGACCTTGTCTATTGCCCTAGTGTGTATATGTTGCTCCTCCTAAACTTTTCAGGCGTTTAGGTGTTAATTTATTTGTTAATTGTTAGGGTTCATCAAGAAAAGCAACTTCTCTATTTCCTTAATCCTTTTATAGCTAGCTCCCCTTTTTCTTTGATCTCAATTGGTTTAATTAGCCTAGAGAATAGAGATTACATTAATTATGTTATATATATATGTCACCCTGATGAACATCCAGTTTCTCTCCTCAATCTCAATTTATTACGACTTTGAGTTTTTTTCTTTTTCAGCCTAAAATGCTAAATTTCTCCACTGGGTCATTCAAATCAATATCAAAGTCTCAATGTTCCATAGAATGATATGCCATGAACCAACTTCTTGCTTAAATAATAATTCTTTTCATTTCTTTGCAACCAACTTATTCTGTGGCCCCCAACATCAATCTTGAGTTTAATTGTCTTCATAATAACAAAGAGGATTAATTACATCATGTCACAGAGCTTTGTCTAAGAATTTTAAATATAACTTCACCGTAAATTGTCTTAACTTATTTGGAATATTTCTATCCCTCCATTCAGCTTTTGGTCTTAAATGCTACCATTCGGATAAGCATTAATCCTTGGCGCGCTTTTTCTTGGTTATCGTAGTAAATTATCATTTATTGGTTTGATTATTTTGAACTTTTCAGTATTTGTCTTTGTATTTTTCCCTAAGAAAATCAAAGCACTTACGCTGTATTTACCATTTGGTTTGAAAGATAAGGCAGAGAAAGGCTCTTTCGAACCAAATACAGCCTTAAAGAATTGTGAACAGCGTAATTATGCTAAATCCAACTTGAACGTTGAATCTCGATCTCTTGTCAATTGAGGGTCGATGATGCTTATCGAATGATGTTATTACCAGTTCGAGTAAAAAATTTGCAAAATAAAGAGATATGATAGATGGCTAGCTATTATATATATAATAAATCGACTTGTTAGTGCTGATACTCTATAACCCAATTAATGGTGCTATTTCGTCTACTTAGACAGTGTTGGTCGAGTTCATTAATTTCAGTGTAAGATTTCCAAATTTTACCCAGCAAAACAAAAAAGGTAAGTGGTCATAGACCGTAATAATAATTAACTAAGGAATAATACAGTTCATATATAGCTAAGAACTCCATGTTATTATAATAAGCTTGTATATATAGATATTTACAGACACCCTCACTGAAATGCTCATTTTACAACTTCTATTGATTAGAAAATTCTTCAAAGGAATGAATATAATTTAAAAGAAAAATAGCAAATTGGTTAATTAATGAATGAATGAATGAAGTAATCAGCGTTGAAAATTAATAATAACAAAAAGAAGTGCATAATTAATTAGGATGTTTTAACCTTAGGTGATTATCTTAAATATATAACTATTGTGTTTTGGGGTTTGTTAGTTGCAAACAAGTGGGAGCTTGAGAAGATTCTTTGGCCGATTTGATTGTTCTCTTCACATGATGAAAAAGCCTTAACAGCTATATAGAATAAAGTGTACGATAGAAAGCTTTTGGCGTAGCCTTCTCATTACAGGCTGATACCTAATATGGCCATATTGCTAGATACATTGCTACGTGCTAACTAAAATATTGTAATCAACATGGGATATGATTTGAGTAGTGCGTTGATGACCTGTACGCGTTTTTGTGTGGACCTTTTCTCTCTCTCTCTCTCTCTCTC